AGCACCACATGCCAGCCAGCCCCGCCCCCTGGTGGGCTGAGCTGGCCACACACACACACACACACACACACACGCAAAAATAAATAAATAAAAAATTAAAAATAAATAAATAAATAAATAAAATTAAATACAGCTGCCATATGGAAAAGGTGATAGAGCTCAGCTATGCTACATAAATGTGAATACTGCTACTCTATCCAGGAATAATAATTAACAATAAAATTTGTATCGCACCAAAGGCCCTAAAGTAAGTGCTTAAGTACATTAAGTTTTGTACTTGAAGAAATACACCGTTACAAGAAATCCAAAAGTGGGCTAGGGAGATAGCTCAATGGCTTAAGCACACGCCTAGCAAGTGCAATGTCTCCACTGAGTTTGATCCCCAATACCCCCCCAAAATACAAAAGCACATAATAATGGTCCTAAAAAGATTGAGCAGAACACAAATAAGTAGAAAAATATTTCAACCCTGTAGTTCATAATTGCTATTAACATACCACCTAAAGCAACATACAGATTCAATACATGTCTATGAAAATTTCCAAAGCTTTCCTCAGAGAAATAGAAAAAAAAAATCCTAAAATGTGTGTAGAAACACACACACACACACACACACACACACACCCCATGAACAAAGAGCCAATTCAATTCTGTGGGAAAGAAAAAAAGTCATGGCATCACGTTTTCTATTTTAAATTATGTTACAAAACTATAGTAATAAAAGCAGTTTGTTACTAACATAATGTAAACACACACCACTGAAACAGAATAGATAGCCTAGAAATAAATCCAAATCCATATAGTCAACTGATTTTTTAAACAAATGAGCCAAAACACAATGGGAAACGATAATGTCTTCAATAAGTGGTGCAGGGGAAACTTCCACATATGAAAGAATAAAACTGCACCCTAGTCCACCAAGCATAAAAATTCACTCAATGCATAGTAAAAAAAAAACAAAACAACCTTAAATATGGGGCTGGGGAGATAGCTCAGCGGCATAAACACCTGTCTGAGAAGTACAAGGTCCCAACTTTGATCCCACTACCACATACCATGTTCCCAGCACTGAGGAGGCTGAGATAAGAGAATCACTATGAGTCCAAACTGTGTAGTGAGATTCTATATTTTAAAAAAAGAAAAGAAAAAAACTTAAGTTGTAAAACTCCCAGAAGAAAACACAGAGGAAAAGGTCATTGACATTGGCCTCCGTAACAACTTGGCTATCGTGCCAAAAACTCAGGCTACAAAAGCAAAGGTCAATAAGCAGCACTACATCAAACTGTGCTTCTGTACAACAAAGGAAACAACTCAAGCAGGTTAGGAAAAAAAGTATTTACAAACCGTGTATCCGATATATTTTAAAAAAAAAAATCTCATACAGTTCTGTTGTAGTTTGGATCAGAAATATCCCCCAAATTCTCAGGTATTGAAAGGTTGATCCCCATGCAGCTATATTCAGAGGTGGAACCTTCAAGAAGGTGACTGCATCATGAAGTCTCTAAGTTCATCAGTGGATTAATCCATTTGGGGATTTATAATTTGATAGCATTACTGGGAGATGGCAGAAGAGTTAGGGTCTAGTAGAGGAAGTAGGAACTAGAGTGTGCCCCGGAAAGGAAAGTCTTGTTCTTCATCCTATTTTTTCTCTGTCTCTCTTGCTGGCCTGGTTGCATGAGATGAGCAGCCTTCCTCTGCCACCCCCTTCTCTCTTGATGTCCTGCTGCACCACAGGTTCAGAAACAATTAATCCAGTAACACTGGATTGAAACCTTTGAGAGATCATGAGCCAAAGTAAACCTTTTGTCCTTAAGTTGTTATCCTCAGGCATGTTGTCACAGTAACGGAAACAGTAAGAAAATATATATTATATGCTATAACATATATAATATAATCAATATCTATGATATTCAATATCACTAATCATCCAAGAAAGGTAAATTGAAATATTTCTTGAAATGTAAACTGTGAAATACCACCTAATACATGTAGGGTAGCTATTATTGAAAAGACAAAAAGTATTGGCAAGGCACAGAAGAAAAAGATACTCTTGTACACTGTGGTTTGGTGCAGCCATTACAGAAAACAGTATAAAGCTTCCTAAAGAAATTAAAAGTAGAACTACCACACAACTCAAAAATTCCTCCTCAGTCATATAACTGAAGGGGATACAATTATCACATCTTATAGACACTGTATCTGCGCTCTCATGATCACAATAGCCAAGTAAGGGAAGCAACCTATGTACTCATTGATGAATGAATGAATGAATGAATGAATGAATGAATGAATGAAGAAACTGTGATATTCATAAATATGTACATATAGATGAATAGTGTTCAGCCTTACAAAGGGAGCGGGCTGGGGGTATAGCT